ATATATTAGATACATGCTATACTATGAATATATTATAATTTTATATATTTACATACATAGTAAATATATTAGATACATACTATACTATAAATATATTAGATACATACTATACTATAAATATATTATAATTTTATATATATATATATAGTATAGTTATTGTATTTTCAAGATCTTTTATACTTTATCTTAGCAAAAAAGTTATATTCAATCATATTTTTTTCATCGTTTAAAACTTAATTTTTTTTTTTAATAATTATTGTGATACATTGGGACACTTTTCGGGTTAAATTTCAAGGTTTCAGCTACACGTCCCACCAGTGTACATTTGAATATCCGAGCTGGGTCAACCTTTGTACTGTACTTTGGACTGTACCGCCAATTTACATTTACTAAAGCGGCAGAAGAGTGTGGCTAGGTAACTGTTAATCTCAGTAGGTATTCAGCTATTTCTGAAGTAGAATAGTTTCAATTAAGTTAGTTAGTTATGCAGTCATTGTTTGTTATGTTATTTCTTCATCTGATTCTGAAGTATTTTTTTGCACAAAAAAGTTGTAAAGTTTAACGACTCTCAACAGTACACAAATAATGGCATGTAAAGTTTTTTTTTGCAACGTATCTTTGCATTTTGTTCATGAATATATATTCTTTTTATCTGGTCGATGTTTTTTACAAAATTCTTTTTTTTTTGATTTATTTATAAAATACAATTTGTGGACGTTTTTTTCCTGTTTTTAACAAAGTTCTAAATAAATATAATTTAATTATTTTAATTACAAAATTATTATATTTACTGTTATATTATAATTATATATATATTTATATTTATTATATTTAATTTCATAATCACTACTTTTTCTAATATTTCACGTCAAATTAATTAGAGATTGAAAAGATGTAATTGCTTTTATATATTAGATTAAGAAATGTATTGATTTAATTTATTAAAAATATTCGTCTTTTTTGGCTGGGTTTGGGGGAGTGAAAATCTTTAAAAGTGTTTAATAAAATAAAAATCGATAAACGATATTCAACTAAAAAGTTTTTAAGTTTACAGCGCAGAAGGAAAGTTTTTAAAATTTTCAAATATAAAATTTAAGAACAAGTTAGATCTTTCAACCATTTCCCGCTCCCAACCCGCCCCCTTATAACAATATATCAAGGTAAACCTCTTTTGTGCCGCCCCCCTCCCTTATAAAAAAATGTTGCCTTATTTTTTTTTTAAATATGGCGTTAACTACAAAACTGTATATTGTAAAATCACCTAACAAAACTACTTTTATTCTAAGCGTTAAAATCTCTCCAAATTTTTATTTTTTTTTTAATTCAAATGTTTTATCACATATTTGCCGCAGAATCTTGATGTTACATAAATGCATGTTTTAGAAGTACAAATTATTTAATTTCTTCTTCTTCATGATTCATGCTCGTATGAGACTATTATAAACAAATATTGGAATTTTTATAATTAGCTTGGGAACCCAGCGTTGCACAGGGGAGTCATAGTTAGCCGGCCCACCGGTTACCCGCCCTTTGTCGTAAATTACGATTCAAGATATTTTCAGGGTCAACTTAGAATCTCAAAACCAGACTAGGAACATTTCCATGGGTATCCCGAGTGCCCTTGCTCCATTGAAAATTTGAGGCAAATCGGACCGGAGGTTCCTGAGTTATGATCGGATAAACAAACAAACAGACAAATAGAAATTACGTTGCTCAGGGTACTCATAGTTAATCCCGACGTTTACCCGCACTTGGTCGATTTTACAGGGAAACTAAATTTTCGTTTTTAAAGTCGATTTACGCAGCTTAAAATCTTAAAACCAAGCGAAGAACATTACCATGGTTCTCCAATGTCAAGGGGTTCCTGAGCTATGATCGGAAAAACAAATTGACAGACAAACAGAGATTAAAACTTGAATAGTTATCTACATCTTATGCTTGTGAAGAGATACTTCATACTAACTCACACAAGCTATAAAAATATGGTTCTCATGAAATTGATAATTTTGACGTTTTATAAAAGGGGGGAAGGGGCATTTTTGTACTGAAATATTTTGCCCTTTTGATCATGCAGTAATAATTGTGTACCTTATAATATCAATATATATGCACTTATACCTATTTAGAGAAGGAATTATATATATTTATGATTTAACAAGAGTAATGTTTCATTTAATCCTGGGATAGTTGGACGTAAACAGAATATCCCAGGGGTGAATGTTTTCTCAAAAAAAAGTTATTACAACCTAAATACAATATATATATATCTATATAAGAAAATAAATATTCA